TCTAAAGCTGATAAACCAAAATCAAAAAGTTTAGCACCATCACCCCTGCTAGATGGGGATCCATATAGGGTGCAAATCAACCTAACGCATACTGCCATTAGTTGCAGTGTTCTAAAATTCAAAACTCCCTCAAATCATTTCTTTTTTAGAAATAACAGAACAATTTGACAAAATATTTCTATTTACTGATATAAAATTAAATCAAATTTAAATAACAGATAGGTTTCCAAAATAATTTCAAAATTACATGCACGTCCCTTGTTATATATTTTAACAAAATTTAATCAATTTTTTTAGAAAACAGATATATAATATAAAACTAGATTTATTTCAGATACAGAAAGCAAAAGGACTCATAAATACATATTATTACTCACAAAATGACGAAAATCAACAAATTCCAATATTTATCAACACGAGCTCAACTAGAATCGTACAAGCAATCTAAAATCATGAAATAATAACATATTTCAATTTATGCTTCTAATAATCAATAAAGGAAATTTCCTAATCACATAACCAAATAAAATTCTAGGTTTTCATGCCTGAACCCATAATACGGCAACTAAGGTCCCAAACCGGTCAAATAAATCATGAACCGAGTATCAAAGTCATAAACCAATCTCTTAAAATATCAAAAATAGTCTATTTAAACCTAAAGTTATCATTTAATGTACTGAGTTGATCATGAACCGGCCACTAAAGGCTGAACCGGCTATGAATCAGCCGTTAAAAGGCTAAACCGGCCATGAACCGGGCCTTATATTACTGAACCGGCCAAATATCATCTTTCACTACCCTAAAACAGCTTTGAATCGGACTAAAAAACACTGAACCGGCCCAAAAAGGCACTGAACCAGCCATTTATATGTTGAACTGGCCGATTTTATGTATTAATACCCTTAAATTGGGTCTAAAATAATGATATTTTCATTGAACCAGAATTACATCAATTAATTTAATTAATTATCTAATTAATTTACCCCTGAACCGGAAGAAAACCGCTGAAATCCTTGTGAGCTGGGCGTTCCTTCTATTTTCCCGTCTATTTACTTATTTATTTTTTATTATTTTAATCTTCCTGTTCTGGGCATTAGGCTTAAATCTGTTCAAAACCCAATCCCTTAGCAATCCTTTCGCCTAGCTCAATTCTGGGGCTGATCCATACAAGCCCAATTCGGGAGCTCCAACCCAATGTCCTAAGCTTTGGCCTAGACTCGCATTGCCTCGGGTTGGTTCATCCCAACCCAACTAGTCCTTCCCAAAACCATAGAAATCTATAACAAGGGCATACCTAGTTGTAGAATGGCTTGGTGTTCCTCATCGATGGCTATAGTCGAGTGCTCGACATAGCTTGATCCTCTTCTTCCTAGTTCAACTGTGAAAATCTACTCAAAGTCCAAAATCTGATCAACCCAAACGCTCAAACTCCCATCTATAAAAATTTCAGAAATTTCGGTATGCTGCGAGTCTAAAAAATGAAATTGATTTGGGGTTTTTCTTCACTCATCACACTCACACCTATATTTAATAAAATCTTGAGCAAATTGTTAGATATCCATATCAAAGGATTATCAAAATCTGAAGATTTCTGATTTTCTTTGATTTGGTCCCCGAGTTCATGATTTTTTCACAATTAGTCCCTAATAGTTTCAATCTACTCAAGTAAGTTCTTATATTATTGAAATTGCATAAATACCCCTAAATTAGGGGTATTATAGGATAGACCCAGTGAATAATAATATAAATCTATAAGAATGAGGGACAGGTATAACAGATATAATAAAAAAGCTTTACAGAAAATAGAATTTAATAGTCATCCAAAATTGAAGGAGTTCATAATATAGAATGTAACAGAAATCAAAAATCAGAAATCAAGATAGCAACCACTTAGTTTGTTGATATATAAATATATAGGTCTCCCATACCGGCCCAACATGGTAGTTTAGCACCACCCTGCTAATTTGGGGTATAGCCCAAAGTGCACTTAGTCTAACACCTATTACCGATAGTTACAGTGTTCTAAAAATCTGAAATTTCATTAAAATAGTTTTTCAAAAACAAACAAAAATAGTCTAACAGAATTTTTTCATTTACAGATATAAATAGGTTAATTTTCTAAAACAATTTCAAAAATTACATATATGTCTCTTGTTATGCTTTTATAATAAAATTTAATTCAATTTTTTGAAATCAAGTATACATGTAAAATTAGAATTTATAATAGATATGGAAAATAATAAAAACTCATAAACGCACATATTACTCACAGAACCAATGGAAATCGAGCAAACTGATCTCTGATGATATACAAGCTGGACGAGAACCATACAAAGGATCTAAAATCAAAAAAATAATAAAAATATGTTATTTTAAGTTTCTAATACATTTAAGAATCAAATAATTAAAATTTTTCAATTAAAAATCTAAGTAAAATTATAGATTTTTGTGCTCAAAACATATATTGAGCTATTAAAGTCCCAAACCGATCAAATAACTTACAAACCGAGCACTAAAGTCTTGAATCGATCTCATAAAACATAAAACCAATTTATTAAATCTCAAAACCACCAATTAAAGTACTAAATCGGTCATGAACCGGCCCATCAGAATGCTGAACCGAGCATGGACTGGTCATTAGGTCACTTAACCAACTTGTAAAGCACTAAACCAACCCTGAACCGGCCTGTAATGCATTGAATCGATATATTTATACCCAAAACTAGTCTAATATGTCAATAAACTAGTGATTAAAAACCCTAATTCAATGGTTTATGGTTTAAACTAGATATATTAACCCAAAACCAGCATTAAACCCCTTGGTTTAAGTAGTAAACTAACCTATTATGCCTTGAATCAGAAGTGAACTGGCGGTTAATCCCTTGAACTGACCAATTTCCCAAATTTTCCTTTTATTTATCCATTAATCTATTTATTAATTTATTTATTTTATTCGAATCTAGATCTCATATCTGATCCAACTCACACTCCTGACCTAGTCCTAACCCAAATTCTTTAATAGCCTGGCCCACTGGCCACGATCCAAACCCAAATCATTAAAAATATTCGGCCTAGGCCCATTTGGGCTAGCCCATTTATTAAGGCCTTAATCTCAGTTCGATCCAACCCAGGAGGTAGACTCGAACTTCAATTAGGTCTATCTTTTTAACTCATTTCACCTATGAGAAACCCAAAAGCAAAGATTAGAAAATTATCTAAAAATTTCTTCAAAATTTTGCAATCAAAGTCCATGATGGTGGTCAAAATTGCTAGGCAATAGTGGCACTGTGGTAGATTAGCCGAAAACACTCTCAATTAACTCAATTTTTGGCCAAAGCTCAGTCGACAATGACGGACAGATGGTGGACCAAAAACAACAAAATTAACAAGGTTAGAAACTCAATTTTCAAAAATTGATTGAGGGCTTCTCATCTACGTCCCCAATTGCACATTATATAACAAAAATTCTGAAATAATAGCTTCTGATTTATCGAATTTAATAATACTAATTGTAGAATCTAGAAGTTTAAAAATAAACTCAAAACCAGTTTTTTGATATTTTTAATTTGGTCCTTAAATTCTTGGTCAAGTATAATCTAGTCCCTATCAACTCACATTATTTCCGTTCAGGCCCTACAAATTTCAATTTTGTTCAATTGAATCCTCTAATTTCCAATTAGACCTTCCAACTTTTTGTTTCTTTTAATTAAACTCTCAAATTTTTAAATATTTTAATTAACCCAAAATTAAGAGTATTACAGTTTTTTGCCTTTATGGGCCGGCTGAGATGCTACGTCCAGTCCTCAATTCTAGACTGTGTTTTAACTTTTTAGTTCATATAAGTTGATTTCTGATGGTCAATATGACTTGTAATATTTCAAATATAGCAGTTTGAAACGCAAATGCTTATCATCTACACACAAGGTTTACTGGTAATTGGAGAATAATAATTAACGGGGAAGATGATAGAGAAAGAAAATGGAAAATATTAAAATTATAATTGCTTCAATTTAGCCTTATTTCTGCACATCAACGAAATGGGCCTACGGTCAACACCATTAAGAAAGACAGAGGCCCAGCCCTCAAAAGCTCACTGGCCCAAGCGTGCACCAAGAATTGTTCAGGTAGCCCAGCCCAGAAAATTTAAAATTATTGTATATTATAATTAAATACTAAATATTAAAATTTAAGATAATTTTTAAATTTATGAAAGTATTAAATTGTTAATATATTATAACAAAAAATTATTAAATGAATGAGTAATTTATACATTTTAGCAAAAAAGCAATTATTACAACTATTTTACCAAATATTCATTTATCAACTTTTTCTACTTTTGAGCAAAATATGCAAACATTTTAAATTTATATACTTTCAGCATTTTTTTAATATTTTTATTCTTCAACATGTTTTAAAAAATAGTAACTCCTACAAAAAAAAATTCGTAGTAAAATAGAAATATAATGAAATATTCATATTATACATAAAACAAATAATTCATGAATAACAAATAAAAAAAATAATGAAAAGAGACTTTGGATCCCCCATCGGCCAGAAAAGTGATAGTTCTTTGACAAAATTTTAAATACTTTTCAAATAATATAAATTGTGTTTTATGATTATCAAAAATAGTTAAAATAAAATCTTGGGTATATATCATAAAAATTTAGTTACCTTATGATCAAAAAAACTCCATTACAAAATTATTTTTGCCCACGTTCAGGGATGAAAGACATAAGAGAATAATCTGATCCAATCCCATATCAATTATGGCATACAAAATCGCAAATTACAAGGGAATCCATAAAACAACATACGAATGAACTCACAAATCTGTAAACAAGAAAAATGAAAATTACAGACCCAACCGAAAAGAAAAGCCTACAATTGGCATTACAAAACCAGACTCCTGAGCCACTCACCATTTGTCCATCATTGCCATCCAATGTGACTCACAAAAAATCAATGCGTCCGTCTGATGCAATCACGACCGTTCAATGTCACAAAGCAAACGCCCCCACAATCGCAGCCACCCCGACCGCCACAACTCCCCGCGGGAAGACACTAGCCGCCCCAGAAGGCTCCAGGTCCGCGCTGGGACTCGCCGCCGCTACCTTCGCCTTCTTCTTCTTCGGAGCTTCGGGTGCCGTAGCCGGCGCTGGCGCCGGAGCCGGGGAGCCGAAGAGGCTCAGAGGAAGAAGCACCTGGTTCACCTGATACACCGCCAACTTACTATCCGTGTAGATCGTGTTGTCCACCGTGGCGTTGACGACACCGGTGGAAATGTTGACCTGATTGTAGCAGTGAAAGTCAGAAGCTTCATTCACCGGGGCTTAAGTATTAACAAGGTTTTAACAATATAAACTTTTAATGTTGGAAACTTTAGGATATTTTTTATAAACTTTTAGCATTTGAAAATTAATTAGGATTTATTTAAAAATTTCATTTCGAAATTTATGAGTTCTTAAAATATAAAAAGAATCACAATAAAAATAAATCCTTTTTATTATTTTTTACTTTAAGTATAAATAAAGAATTAGATGGTAAAATTTTTAAATATTAAATTTTTCTAAATTTTAACATAATAGACTAATCTTTTTTTTTGGGGGGGGGGGGGGCAAATGTAACTCTCAAATTCGAAATTGATATAAAAAAAAGTATAATTACCCATTTAAATGTTTAATTACATTTTTAATATGGAGTTTTGGGCTTGCAATATTAAAATTGAATAGTGAATGTGAAGTTCAATGTTTTAAGGGGAGGGATAGTTTGAAATACTTAAGTTATGATAAAATTCAGAATATTTCCTATTTTCCAAATTACAGTGAGGTGAGTTGCCCTTGCCTGGTTGTTGCCGGTGGTGGTGACGTTGAGTGGGAACTGGCCGCTTCCGGTGTCGCCTGCCTGGGTCCTAAGCGGGTTGCTCACCGTCTGGAACTGGGACATGGAGAGTAAAGTGGGGGAGGACGTGGAACTGGATTAGTTCGTTCTTCTCGTTGTCGGATAGCGAGTTGAGGGTGCCGGCGGAGAGGCTGGAGAAGGCGTTATCCGGCGGGGCAAAGACGGTCATGCCGGAATTGGAGTTGTTTAGCTGGCTGTTGATCTGGTCGCCAACCGGGTGGTGCCGAGGAGCCGGATGAAGACTGTGTATTGCCCGGCCTTCTCTAGGATCTTGGTGATGTTGGTGGGACCAGCGGGGCCGGAGCGAGCGCCGCCGGAGACTGAGCTGCTATTGGGGAGAGACAGAGCAGGAAGAATGAGAGAAAGAAGACGAAGTATTTCGACATTTTAGCCATTCTGCTTCTCTCCGAGTGCTACAGAGGGTTTGATTGGGCAGATGGTAGTGTGGTCCTTGAAGGTGGAGAAAGAAGGGGTTTTATGGATGGAAAAGATGGGGGGCTGTTCGGTGAGAGGCAGCTATTATGGTTAGCTCCCATTTATGTCTATATCAGCAGAAGTTGGTAAGTTCCAATTTCTAGTTAGAAGAATCAAGTCCCTGCTCTGTAAAGATAGTAATTTGAGTCTTTCAACTTCTTTCTATCTAAACTTGTACAATGGGTTAAATAAAACCAAATCCGAATACCAACCAAACCAGATTTGGTTTGGTTTGGTTTGGTTTGGTTTTTTATTATTTGATAGTATTTACATTTTCAATTGCAAACAACCAAGTGTTATGCATAACTTATAGAAATTATATAATTTATTTGATGAATAAAAACCAATTTAAAATTTATTTTTAAATCAAATCCAATTAGAGACCCGATTTATGTAACATTATTTGGATATTTATAATTATTTTGGAATCATATTACAGTCAAATCAAATGAATTCATAAGACAATAAACTTGTACGAGAACAGAGTGACGTGGTGTTCGTATATATGTCCGGTGGTCGTGTATTTGCAAGTCTGATTCTGGGGGACCGTGGCATCTCTCTGTCTGAATCATTGTAGGGAGAGAAAAAGGAGAAGTGGGGAAGAGTGGTACTATTCCATCAGATGGTTTGCTTGAGAAGGCAGGAAAAACAGAGGAGATCGCAAGTGGGTGGGGTGAAGGCATGGCCGCTTTTTCTTATGGATTGCTTAGGCTTCACTTAATAAAAGCATCCCGAAGTGTATGATTAGTTTTGCCCCAAATTTAAGGAAAAAATAATTGATAATAATTTTTCAGGGGATGGTCCCACGTGGCCATCTCTTTTTTTCTTTTTTTTTTTTAAAGTGAAAAATGGACGTAGGTATATAATGCATAATTTGTTTTACGAACCGGATTTGTATAAAAATAATAAATTTATTTATATTTATGCAAAAAGAATGGATATGCAAAGCTGTTTTCTTTGGACACGTTTGATAATCCGATAGATATGCAAAGCTGTTTTCTTTGGACACGTTTGATAATCCGATAGAATACGGTAGGATTACTCAAGATTAAGAAAAATGGGTGAGTGACATTACTGGAAGTGGCCGAGAGGCGTAGATTCAAGTCTTACTGCTACTAGAGGTTAAGCTTGGCCATTTTTGGTGCATGTTTGCTCCTGTGCTCGTAGAATAGAATCTCCCGAATGTTTGCCACCGTCCAAGTCGTTCAATTTAAACAAATTTAACGGTTATTTTGGTCAGATTTTGATATTATAACGGAAAAGTGACTATAATATCAATTAAAGTGATAAATATAAAAAAATATCGTTTATTTATTCAGAATTTCAATATAAAGTCATTAATACAAGGGTTGTTTGGATAAGTTTTTTTAAAAGTAAAAGTATTTTTATTATTTTTTAACTAGTTGGATGCATAAAATTACAAAAGTATTATTTTATAAAATTACCATAAAAGATTAATTATATGTATCTTTTTTTTACATGTAAGGAATATTATTACCTAAAAAAATATTATTCTAGTTTTATTCACTACTTTCTCTTTCTTCTATTATAAGAGATGATTTTAGAAACTAGTCCTATCAATTTTTTAAAAAAAGCAAAAAATTACTTTTTTAATACTTCTAATTTTTTTTATTAATCTTATACAAAAATATATTTTTTTACAATAAGTGTTTTTTTAAAAAAAAAAAATCCAAACGGGCCCTAAGTGATTAAGGTTTCATCTAAATATTATATAAGCAAATGAGACTATGATACTCAATCCGTAGATCTCCAACCGAGTGTTTAAAATGACAAAATGCCTATTCATAGGAGTTTTCAATTTCTAGTTATGAAAAAAGTGATTTTATATGTTTGAGATTTTTTTTTCTAAACTATATTTTATATTTTAATAAAAGTAATTATAAGTAAAAAACACTCAAACCTTTACTTTTTGTAGTAATAATATAATTGTAAATAACTCAAATTTTTCTAAAACAAATATATTCTTAAATGAATAGATATTTTAGATATATTAACATGAAAAATAGTGTTAAGCGATTATTAACACTATTTTAACAAATATTCATCTATCAACTTAGTTTATTTTTTTAACAAAATTAGTAAAATATCCAAATATTTATATTACCAGTGGTTTTTTAGTTATTTCTAAAATTTAACAATTTTTTAAAAAATAATAACGCTCGCAATAGGCACAAAGATTGACTTTGATAATAATTTAAAAAGTTCAAGAATTTTTAAATTTTAAAACATATGAATTTTTTATTAGGAAAAAAATTCAGGAATTATATCTCCAATACTTCAATTTAATAAAGTCTCAAATTATAATCTATAACAATCTAAATATGTAAAATGTTCTTAAAAGATCCATATATTGAGATTCCCTCGTGTGCCAATGCAAACATTTAACCTGGGAATGTATTCTTTTGTCCAAAGAAACTGTTGATAACCAATTGATTCACAAGTTTATTAGTTATTAAATCTTTCATATCTTGTCAGAAAACGGATTAACAAAATGCTATAGCAAGTTGCTATGATGGGTCAATAAATCCCCAAAACAATAAACTATAACTCATTCTCTTCCGAAAGTGATATTAGGTCATCATTAATGAGCAACAATCTCTATCCAATGTTCATCCACTCAGCCTTCTCTTTACTTTCACTTTCAAAACTATTCAAAAAAATTAAGGAGGAGGAGGAGGAGGAGGAGGAGGAGAAATAAATTGGTTTCTGAAAAAAAAATGTAATTTATTATTCAACTCTTAAAAGGGTTTTTCAAAGAACAATATTTCTGTTTTTATTTTCCAAAAGAAAATGCCTACCTTGACTCCAATTTCACATAGGCCAGGAAGGAAGGGGTCAATAAAGTTGATTTCTTTTCATTCATATTGATGTGACGACGGGAGACTTGTTACACTTCATCAAATATTTGACACATGATTCTTTTTTTTTAACTTATTTAAGTTTATTTTGCATACAGTCATCACTTTACTATTGCAGCCATTTACAGATTAACTTTATACAAAATTCACCCTGTCTTTTGACCTTTCACTCAATCAGTGATTTTTATTTTTATGCTCAAAACAGAATTCATTAATTGAGTGAGGTTCGACAATTTTATCGTAACAAGGCGGAATAAGATGAACAGTTGTCTTACTAATTTTGTTTATCAAAATGCCACTCTGAGGTCCACTAATTAAAAAAAAAAAAAATGCTTCGAGTGAGGACTTAGCTGGGCCTCCGCACGGCTGCTGTTAGGGGATCCTACAACATATGCCCTGTGTGGGTGAACTCAGATGCTTTGACCACAAGGACCAGTGGCCCATATTCCCTCTCACTACTGGGCTATAGTTGGGTCCACCCCGTGGCTTTTTATACAAGCTTTATATATATATATATATATATATATTCGGTTGATCTCCAAAGCCACCTTTCAGATCTGTATGGCGATTGTCCTCACTTTCGATTCTCAATTGACTGTCATCCTTATTGTCAGTCTCTCGGCTACCTTCATCTCCAGCCCCTCAGCCACCGATCACAACCCTTCGTCAAAGCCTGCAATTAAACCGTCGAGTCAATCTTTGAGGCCACCCCCTGAATTTGCATGGCTGCCATCCTCACTTTCGATTCTCCTCACTGATCACCACTCGACACTCCCTCTATCCTCGCCCTTATCTATTTCTTTTTATTTTTCTTTCTTTCTTTTTTCGTTTTTTCTGCAAAACCCAAACAAACTAAGAAGGAAAGCAAATACAAAAAAACTAGTCTTTTATCATAATTTTATAAAAAAAAAAAGTATTTTTATATTTTACATCCAAACAGTGAAAAAAAAACTTTTTAAAAATACATAGTTCTACTTTTTAAAAAATCACTTATGAATTTTTTTTTTAAATTATACAAATGGGCCTACCTCTTCCTGTTTCCCAAAATATGTAATTAAGAGAATGGCCAAAAAAATATCTTTATCCATATATTTATAGCTTTAGATTTTAAGACAAAAGGAAATAGCTCCTTGGGAGGTGTTCCGTAGGCTAGATAATAATAAATATGAATAAATTATTCACTTTTATCTACTGTTCAGTAAGTTGGATAAAATAATTAGATAAAAGTTCAAGTAAAATAAATGTTAAATAATTATGTAATTAGATTTGGATAAACTATATTAGAAGAAAGTAAAATAATTTTATCTAACATTTATTCAGTCTTTTTATACAATATTGTTTTACTATTAAAATATATTCACTTACCACAGTTGACCACTATCGTTTGTTGTCACCTATTGCCCCTTGCCATTTACCATCGATGCCCCACCTCTTGTCACTATGTAATGATCCTAATTATAAAAATAATTAAGATTTTAGCCAATAATTAAGTTTAAGGGCTTAATTGCTCAAATTAAAAGAAACTGGGGTCAAATCGTAATTCTGGAAAGGTGAAATTGAAGAAATTACAAGATTGAGGGGCTAAATTAAGAAATTAGAAAGTTTGGGGTTAAATTGAAAATGTCAAGGGTCAAATTGAAGGATATAGAAGAGGCATGGATTGAATCTAAATTGCGGAGGGTGAGATTGAAAGAAATCAAAGTTGGGGGACTAGATCGAGAACAAGACTTGTAGGTTCGGTCCAACAGTGGACCTAATAATGGGATGCCCATACCGTGATCATGGCACCCAATTTTTGGTTTAAAACTGTGTATTGGTGTGCAAAGCAATCCATAGGGCACTTCCCCTCAACTAATTTCAAGATTTGGAGAGAAATTTGAGAGTATTGTGCACTTGTTTGGTCGACAGGTTCACAGACGACCAAAAGTGATTTTCTACGATTTGATGCTATTTTGATCAGTTATTCTTTGATTAAAAGCTTGTGATCGAGTTGTCTAGGCTAGTTGTGCAATCTTTGGTTTTGCATTGATCGAAGTATGTCTTAAATATTGCAATTTTTTGTTTTGTTTGAGTTAGGTATCGTGGAACTATAACTGGGTTGGCAACTAGGTTATCAAGTAAGGAAAACAAACCCGGCTAGTATCCGAGTTTGTGTTAAGTTGACTCGGCCAAGTTGACTCGACTTATTAAATTAACTCAGTAAGGCTAGGCTTGGTTGGGCTTGGAATGGTCTAAGGGGGCTGGGCTAATTATTTGGGCTTGGGCTTGGGCTTAGCCTATTCGGCAGAGTTAGTGGCCTTGGGTCATAGAAGTAAGGCCAACCCAAGGTGTGTGGGTTGGGCCGAATTCTAGGTGAGTCAACTCGATGGGTTGACTCGGCCTAGTGCCTAGAATAAGTGAGTTGACTTAATGAGTCAACTTAGCATATTGATTTTAGGATATGCTATTGTGGAGGTAGAATAGAATGAAATTGGAATAGGATAGCCAAGGCTAGGATAAGGTATCCAGGGTTCCTGAATAAGGGCAGTAATGGTTAAAGGGCTAGTTCAGTGGAAATTTGGCCAGTTTTAGATTGATTCTGAGAAGGTAAGACCAATTCACACCTCTAAGAAGTTTGGTTCATCAAAAAATTGGTTGATTCAATACTATTTAAGTTGGTTTTGTGTGCAAATGGCTTGGTTTAAGAGTTTTAAGGCTGGTTCAATCCGGTTCTTGGGTATTTGAGGCTGGTTCAATCTAGTTCCAGGGTAATTGAGGCCGGTTCAGTTCAATTCAGAGATGTTCATGTCCAATTCAAGCTGGTTTAAAGGAGTTTAAGGCTAGTTCAAGGGTTTTGGAGACCGATTCACCACGGGTTAAGGGTTCTTAAGAGAAATGGATATGTATTCTTGAGTCGTGTGGGTTTCGGGCAATGGGAAATGAGCCTTAAGATGTAGGCAAGGGTTTTAGAGTGAGTTCAGAGCCTAGTTTTGGGCGATTGAGTCCTTCTTGTCTCAGTTCGAGTTATGATTTAAATTGTGTACTGTTGTGGTTATAGATACACTGGCAGAGACACAAGATGATTGTTGAATCATGGCAGGTGACTTAAGTTTTTGATTTGACCTTGTTCTGTAAGTGATAATACTCTTTCTACACATGTGTTTTCAAATTGTGTTTTATGACATGGATATTGTTTTGATACAAACGGTATTTTGATTATATGCAAAATTACTGAGATATGTTATTGTGCTCAAAATGACACTGAGCTTTGATATCACATGTTTTGACACCCATATGTTGATATATGAACTGTATATGTGTATATGTAAAATGTTTTTTTGTAAATATGTGAGGAGTTATATGGTGTCATGAGTTAGGGACGTCAAGGGCTCGTACTTGAGGATGGTGATCTATAGCGTCTAATAACAAGTGCCTTGAGTTTGGTGTGAGGTTGTGGTGCCTTAGGCATGATGTGCATTGTCGTGATGAGATTTGGGACATTAGGACTCGACTGGAGAACAGTAATCCATAGGCCTAATTGCGAATGCCTTGAGTCCAGTGTGAGACTATGATGCCTTAGGCATGAAACGTTCTGCCATGAGAAATGATGACTGTATATGATGATACTCCTACATATATATTTTGATGTACTTGTACTGCTAAATGTGTATGTATATGTATGACTTGGTATACGTTGTAGTGCATATCTTAAAATGGTTAGAATAGGTATCATCTACCACTCACTGAATTTAGCGACTCATTCTTTTATATCTTTCCAGATCGGGTTAACTTTTTGATTTTTAGTTAGAGGTTGACGTCGAAGCCAATTCTTGCTGACTTAACAAATGTACGGGGCATATTTCATTTTGTTATCATTTTGTACTCTAGTTATTCTTTTACTTTTCGCAGACAGGGTTAATCCCCTCCAAAAAACAAAAAATAAAAACCGCTTTTCTTAAATTTTTGATATTTCCAATATTTTTCTTATCCATAATAATTATCTTGGATGTCATTAGATGGATAAATCACTTTGATGAATAACAAATTTGATTTCTCGGAAATCCTCAATCCTAATTGAGTTGTCAAGATCTTTAACTTGCTTCAAACAGGAGTGTTGTCTTTATGGCCTACTTGGATATTCAAAATAATTGCCAATTTTCAGATTCCTCTAGCTTCTGCTACCTTGTGTTTCCTATTGGCAGTTCTCTAACTATCTAAGAGAGAAGGGAAGATCACATTGAGTTTTATTATACCTTTTTGGAAGCTGACTATAGCACGTAAGGATGGTTGTTTGGGTCTATTTCTTTTTTCAAAGAAAAATAAATTGGGAAACAATTAATTTTTGGAATTAGGGAGGCTTGCACACAGAGAAATCATTTGTCATTAAAAGATCCAACTTCCTCGGTAATGATTTTATGTGGACAAAGTGTTTTTTAACCAAACAGTTATATATATTTCAGCTAAATGATTCATTTCTGTTTTTTTTTTTTACTTCAAAAAGTACACACCTCTTTAAGTCAAAGATTGGCGCCGCCAATGATCTAGTTTAATCTCCTTGATTTTTATTGCACTTCAAAATTATGGATGCAAAAAGAGCAGCAATAATACAAAAGAAGGTAACACGCCAAAGCAAAATAGAAAAGAGTTATCTCTGCTAAGGAAAGTTACTGACTTGATTAGTAAAATCCTGGCTTCACCATCAACTGTTTATCTCTTTTTGTTCGTTGTCAGGCTCTGCTCAGCTTTAAACAGTTTTGTGTTAACAACCTCTGCATTCTGTGTCAACAGCTTCTATTTTGATTCTAGGTCGACTTCTTACAACAAGACGGACTCCTCTCCGTCCTAACCTTTTTACCACCATTATTCACTGCTAACTGTTGTTATTGTCCTCACTTTGTTTCTCTATTCTTGCTGATCCTTTGTTTCTACCCTTTGCAATGCTTTGTTGCAACCCTCGGGATATTTTGTTTTTTTTGGTTTAGTAATCCAAGGAATACAAAACATTAGGAACGAAGGAAATACAACAATTAAGATTTGAATACGTGACTCCGACTTTCATGCTGCTGAAGAGAGGGCTGAAAAATAGGCCCAATTGATTTGGACAGCTCAAAAGGAAGATAGCCCAACTGGCTCTAGCCTAGGCCGAATATATTTACGTTTTTTTTTTTTTAAATAACTGTGCTTAATATGTAAAAAATATATTAATATTAGATTAACAAATGGATAAAATAAGTGTAAGAAAGATTTTTATTTTATTATATTTACTGTATTTTTATTAATCATAATAAACTCATATTTTTTATGTGCTGTAAATTTAAAGAATTCATAATTTTTATGAGTAATTCAGTTTAACTTATAATAAAAATTATATCATACTCTTACAGTATCATATTTTTTTAATTCAAAATATTTCAATTCAACCTTTCTTTGACCCACCGGATTAAACACCCCTATTTTGAAGATCAGCTGGAAGGAATCCTTCAGATGGGAAAGCATTTAGGATGGCATGGCTCGAAGAAGGGCAACACACTTGAGCCGCACTAAATCATCTCTATATCAGCTAATCGTAGAAGTACGCGTGTCCAGCAACTCTTTAGTCCACTTCCAACGTCACCTGCAACTCCAAAGTCCAATCGATCCTTCAAACTCTAAAAGCCCCATCGCTAAATTCCAAGTTGATTCTTTCTAGTTTGCACGTCGAAAACTATAGAAGCCAGAGAAGGACCTGGAGAGAGAGAGACACGCACAGAGAGGGACCGAATTGCCATGAACGCATGCTCAAGATCGACAACTGCCATCGCCGTCGACATGATCAACAGCAGCAGCAACAACAGCGCCACCATCAACGGCTCGATGTCGCCGTCCTCCACCGCGAATCCTCAATCACAAGGTCTTAAGGCCTACTTCAAAACCCCGGAGGGCCGCTACAAGCTCCATTCCGAGAAGACTCACCCCGCCGGCCTCCTTCCCTATGCCCACGGCAAATCCGTCACTCAGGTCTCTCGCTCCTCTCCTCCTAGGGTTTTAATAACGATATATGTATGCATATGCTTCCACAGATGTGTATTGGATATGGACATCTGCGTTTCGTGTCTGGACGTTGACATGAGTAATTGATATTAGGTTATGTTGTTCGAATTTGGATCACCTTAGTGCAAATCAAGGTGAAGCCATGGAACTTATATTTGCATATATGGAGGCGTATATATGCATCGATATTCTTTTTTATGTCGACTTTTGTATAATTCTGTTCTGTTTTTGTTGTTTAGATAACCCTAGCGCAGCTTAAGGAGAAGCCAAATCAAGCGGTGGTAGGCCCCAGCTCGAGCTACAGCGCAAGCAGCGGAGTGAGGTATGTGGCACAGAGATTTCTGGGCAGCAGCAATGGCAGCCGAGGGTTGAGTTTTGTTGGTGGGGGTGGGCCAAGCAAGACCAATGGTGGAGCTTACAGGAGCAGTTCATTTGCCGGTTCGAATGGTTCTGGTTCTAATTCTATAATCAACTCAAATTTTGACGGTAAAGGCACGTATTTGATATTCAATGTGGGGGACACTTTGTATGTGAGCGACCTTAATTCGCAGGATAAGGTAATTGGACTTGTTAATTGTAATTTCTTGAATAACTTGCTAACGCTTGTAATTCTCGGAGTAATGAGTTACATTCTCTTTGTGTGTAGGATCCCATAAAAGCAATACACTTCAATAATTCGAATCCGGTTTGTCATGCTTTTGGTTGTGAATCAAAGGACGGGCATGACTTGATAATTGGATTGAATTGTGGGGATGGTAAAGAGCTACTGGACTCAATTAATATTAGTTTTTTTTTTTTTAATAATGGAGATTTAGCTCTATGACTTACCTTGGGTTATTGTTCTTTTTGTAGTGTACTCAGTATCTTTGAGGCAACAACTACAAGATTTCGGCAAAAACTTGTGGGTGCCCAACATTATAACAAAGATGGATCTATCAATAACAGGCAAGAAATTAATTATCATAGTCAAGATTTCTTTTGGCTTCTCTTTCTCATTGCTTGCTTTACTCAAATCTAAATTATCATGTTATAACAGCCTCATAAGCCTTTTGGTTCCTTGTTTATTCTCTGTTCTCACGGTTCTTATGTTTACTGTACAACATGCAATTGCATCATTTGTTGCTGCCCACAGCTTATGTTTCCAAATTGGGACTTTGAAAAGAAAAGTGTTGAATACTTTCCTTAGATTCTGCTGATTTTTCTGAGCTTAAAAACTGAAAATATAGGGGTGTCGTTGAGCACCTATTTGAATATTGTTCTTGGTATTTTTGTATTTTTCTTAATTTTGTGTATTCTATCTATTATATAATATTACTGTTGTAAGTCATAAGAGATTTATATCCAAATCTAGAACCTATATATTAAGCATGGACTACTTGAATATTTTTCTTGGTATTTTTATATTTTTCTTAAATTTGTATATTCTATCTATTATATAATATTGCTGTTGTAAGTCATAAGAGATTTATATCCAAATCTAGTACCTATATATTAAGCATGGACATCTTCACTTTAACATCTAGTTACTGGTCTGAATAAGCAACCAACTGGCTATTCCTGACAGTCGATGTACTAGTGTTGCATGGATCCCTGGCCGTGATGGTGCTTTTGTTGTTGCTCATGCTGATGGAAACTTGTATGTATATGAAAAGGCAAGCCTCGATTTTCAATGGAAGTGCCAATGCACTGTCTGCTGAACTTTTTATCCTCTGCTTCTACTGCATGTACTGAATTTCCAGGTGGTTTCATTTGTGCATGATAGGGCAAGGATGGTACTGGTGATGTTGCTTTCCCAGTCATCAAAGATCTGACTCAATTTTCTGTTGCTCATGCAAAGTCGAGTAAGGTAGTTTTGATGACCTTTTGGCAATCTTTTTGAATTAGACACCTTACAATTGGAATTTAGTATTTCTCAATGGAGATTTAAGTTGCTGTAGCTTGGACTGAATATGAAATGTTTAGAACTTTCAAACAAAAATCTCATAGCAAGAGTAATCCACAGATGATGAAATTTTTATTTTTTAATACCGATTGAGTAAAAGATGTTTCCTTTTTTTTTTTTTTTTTTCTGTTGGCATATTATTATTAATTACAGTCTCCATGCCCTTGTCTCCTTTTTTCCTTTTGATATATATTTCTTCGTAGTATATTTTATGAACTCAGCTAATCTGTGATTAACAATAATGTGTTCAGTTGCATGTACATGATACTGTCTACTATACAATGGAAATGTGTTCACCCACATTTAGGAGGTAAGGATGTTGCAAACAGAATGAAGATTGTCTTTTGGAAGATTGCATGGATATCATGTGCTTATCCTTGAAATTGAGGATCTTCTAAGCACCAAGTCCTCAGCAGCATCTACCTCTATTATCATGTGAATGTCTATTCTGAATTATTGCACCCTATTTCTTTATTCCGGGAGACTTAAAAGTTATAAAATTACTATGTTTCTTCCACTCCCTTTTCACCTGAAGATAATAATAATTAATAATTTAGAAGAAAACTGGTGATGGTTTATTTTTTATGTTGTTTTCACCTTGCTTTCTAGGTATAAAAGTTCGTGTTTGTATTTCTTGCTTTTCGATTGGGATACTCATTTAATATCAAAAATACTTTTAAAATTAATATTTACAAAAGAAATAAATAAATAAATAACATTTGTCTTTTCATACTCCATTTCCTTAATGTGGAATTGGAATCCAAAAATAAGATAAGTATTCAGGAAAAATTGACTGCATTAGTTATTTCCTAAAATTTTGGGAAGAAACCAGAAAATGATTCTGCAAAAATTTGGTGCACAATGTTGTTGTCGTTAGACATAATTATGGACATGTGTTTTCACACATGTATCACATGCAATAAATATCCTTTATGGTACTGGGTAATAGGAAATCAATTTTCTAAGAAGGCAATTTTGCAAGCAGCTTGAAGAATCACAAGCATATTTTTTAACATGAGATAAATACCTAGATGATGGTAGCATGGAATCAACTTTTTTCACACGATATAAATACCTAGATGATGGTAACGTGGAATCAATTTTCTAATGAAGCCATGCGAAAGTTTCTAGTTCCTGAATGATTCATGGTTTCTCTAGGCTTAGATAACAAAAAGAAAAAGGTAGAAAAGATGGATAAGAAATCACCAATTGCAAATAATTGTAATTGAACTATCGCATGTAGATTTTGTAACTACTGAAAAGGCTTTCCACTAGGTTGTTAATGTGTATATTATATAGTTTTACATACTGACAAGAAGTTGTTAAACTGCTGAGAACTGTGAGCATATGTAGAAAATGCTTATTGATGTAGCACACTTTCATATTAGGGTTTTTTAGTGGTTTTAGGCTAATGAACACTGCCGTGGAACAGTAACAGTGCTCCGGAACAGTAACAATGCTGCAGGAACAGTAACTTGCAAAGAAACTATGATAACAAAGAGAATGAATAAGAAAAAATTCTAGGAATCACTCCTAGAGACCTTTAGGAGTCATATAAAGTTCGATTGCATCACACAATCCCAAAATTCAAGAAATCTTAGAAAATATGAATCTTTTATCAAAACAATCAATAATCTTTTAAACATAGCCATAGCACAGTATTTATAAGAGAAATCCTGTGCTCCCTTAATAAGTAAAATGACCTAAATACCCTTGCTTAAGTAATTTAAATAAAAATTAAATAAACCCTAACCAACACTACATGATGCAATTAATTAAAAAAAAACTCTAAAACAAAATAAATAACTTAACTAAACACCAAAACAATTTTTAGGCGCAAGCTGCCAATTAAGATTTCCATCCTCCAACTCATGCCAAATCAAAGCTTGAGCTTTGGAAGGGTTTGTTCCTCTTCTTTTATAAACCTTAATAGGTTGCTGCCATTTATCTCTATCATCTCTTCCTGGCTTGAAAAAACTCGACTCTGGCGAGTTAAATGCATGAAATCTCTCACAGCATTTAGGATTAAGTTTTTGAAAAATCAGCCTCTGAAATCCATGTACAATCTGATAGTGGATAACCCTTCCATTTGATGAGGAACTTTTGGTATTCTCCACTGCGTGTTGAAACCATTTGGTGATCAACAACATCTTCAATCTCTTCTTTTAAGTGTGCTGTTGGTGGAAGCTTTGTTGTAGGAGCAGCAGCAATATAATCATCTTCAGGACCTGTATATGCAGTTAAATCTTCAACATTGAAAACATTACTAATGCCGAAATCATCTGGTAACTGAAGGACATAAGCATTGGAGCTAATTTTCTTGAGAATCTTGTAAGGACCAGCATTTCTGGAATGAAGTTTCTTATAGGAACCTCTAGGGAACCTCTCAGGACAAATACAAACCATAAGCATGTCTCCCTCTTGAAAATCAGCAAAGCGCTGTCGCAAATCTGCATGAGACTTATATTTCTCATTGCTGATTGCAATCTTTCTTCTAACATCATCATGTATGTCCAGGATATGCTTAGAAAAAAGTTCAGCTTCAATACTAGGACGAGTTTCAAGAGGTAAAGACACCAAATCAATTGGTTGTTGAGGCTTCAAACCTGTCACCACTTCAGCAGGACTACGTCCAGTGGTTCTATTAATTGAACTATTGTATGCAAATTCAGCAATATATGTAAAATCTGATCCCAATTAGATTCATTTTCACCAACTAGACATCGTAAAAAATATCCCAGACTACGGTTAATAACTTCAGCTTGTCCATCTAATTGTGGATGAAAAGGCGATGAAAACTATAGTTTAGTTCTTAACATCTTTCATAAACTTTGCCAAAAGTGGCTCATGAACTTCACACGTCTGTCTGAAACTATGTTTAAAGGTAGCCCATGTAGTCTAACAAGCTCTTTGAAGAAACCTTTGCAATATAGACTGCATCGGAAGTCTTAGAACAAGTTATGAAGTGCGCCATCTTAGAGAACCTGTCAACCACTACAAAAATAGAATCATGTCTCTTGATTGTTTTAGGCAATCTAAGGATAAAATCCATGCTTAGGTCTTGCCAAGGCTCATAAGGTATGTGCAGAGGTGTGTAAATACCAGTATTCTTCTTAGTTCCCTTAGCTAATTGGCATACTTGACAATGGGAAACAACTTTAGCAATATCTCGCTTTAAACTTGGCTAATAAAAATGGTCTTCAATCATAGCAATTGTCTTATCCCTCCCGAAATGTCCAGCTGCTGCTCCGCCATGTAATTCCCAAATGACTTGTTCCCTTATGGAAGTATTAGGCAAACAAAGGCTAGTTCCCTTGAAAAGGTAGCCATCATGCAATAAGAAACCTGCACAATTAGTTTGCTGTTTAGACTGCAATTCTACAAAAATAATGCTGAAATCTTTGCAACTATTGTAATCTTTCTTCAACAAGTCAAATCCTACCACCTGAATGGCCACTAAGGTAAGAATATGCATCACTCGACTCAATGCATCAGCCACTCTATTATCAGTTCCAGCTTTGTGTTTGATAACAAATGAATATTGTTGCAAAAAAGAAACCCACTTTCCATGCCGAAAGTTCAAATGTTTTTGGGAGTTTTTGTATTTTGGTGACTCATGATCATAATACAACACAACTCCTTGAAAACAAGATAATGATGCCAATAGCGAATAGTTTGTTCAATTGCATAAAATTCCTTATCGTAAGTAGAGTACCTTTGCCTTGCTTCACTCAACTTCTTACTGAAATATGCTATTGGATGGCCTTCTTGACTAAGTACACCAATCCCAATATGTGACGCGTCACATGCCACTTCGAATGCTTTTGAAAACTCTGGTAGTTGTAGGATAGGAGCTTTAGTCATCCTTTTCTTGACTTCTTCAAAAGCTTTAGTTGCAGCTTTGGTCCAAGTGAATTGACCTTTTTCAAGCAATCAATTATAGGAGCCATTAAAGTGCTGAAACCTTTAATGAACTGCCTATAGAATGTAGCTAAACCATGGAAACTTCTGACTGCAATGTTGTAGGGAGTGGCCATTCTAAAATTGCCTTGACTTTGTTTGGATCAACTTCAATTCCCTTGGCAGAGACAACAAATCCTAGAAATTCCACACTTGTGGTCATGAAACAATACTTCTTGAAATTAATGTAAAATTTCTCATGGCGTAGGATCCTCATTACTTGTCGGACATGATCAATGTGTTCTTCATTGTTCTTGCTGTAAATTAAAATATCATCAAAATATATAACAAGAAACTTACCAATAAAAGGCTGGAAAATGGTGGTCATAACTCTCATGAAGGTACTTGGAGCACTAGAAAGATCAAAAGGCATAACAAGCCATTCATACAACCCGTCCTTTGTTTTAAAGGCTGTTTTCCATTCATCTCCCAGGTGAATATGAACTTGATGATAACCTTTCCTAAGGTCAAGTTTAGAGAAAATACAAGCTCCAGCCATCACGTCAATCACATCATCAATCGAGGTATTGGAAACCTATACTTGATGGTGATCTTATTAATTGCACGGCTATCACGCACATCTGCCAAGTCCCATCTTTCTTTGGTGTAAGTAATGCTGGAACTGCACAAGGACTTAGACTTTCACGAATATGTTCTTTAGATAAGAGCTCTTCAACTTGTCTCTTAAGTTCTGCATGTTCTGTAGGATTCATACGATAAGCAGGAAGATTAGGTAATTGAGACCGAGGCACAAAATCTATAGCATGCTGAATGCTGCGCTTTGGGGCAGTTCATTAGGTAAATCCTCAGGAGCAAATCTGAAAATTCAGCTAGCAAATTAGACAATTCAGGTGGTACTTGCAATAGAACATTTATAGAATCATGTATCTCCCTAACTACAAGAGCAAAAATCACCCCATTCTCTTTGATTTCACTTTCAAATGGCTTCTTTGTAAGAAAATGTAGGGGCTGTTTTCCTTGTTCAGATCCATTGCCCTGTCAACTTTCTTCCTTGGCTTATCCTGGTGCTTTCTTATTGTTTCTTCCTTCAAAGGCTTCAAAACAATTTGCTTGTTATTGAACATGAAGGAATAAGTGTTGGCTTTTCCATTTTGATGCACTTCATGATCATATAACCAAGGTTGTCCCAAAAGAATGTGTGTCACTGTCATTGGGATGACATCACATCATATATTGTCGTGGTAAAGACCTTGAGTCATAGAAACTAAGCATCGCTTTGTAACCGGAATAGATGCGTTGTTAATCCATGTCACCTTGTAGGGTTGAGGATGGGGTTAGGTAGGCAACTTAAGTCTCTGTACTGTAGATTCTGAAACAACATTCATACTACTGCCACCATCAATTATTAACTTTCTAGTCTTCTTTCCACAAGAGACTAAAGTCTGAAAAATTGTTGTTCTCCCCAATCTTCTGTTTCTTGCTTAGGTGCGGCAAGAATACGTTGAACAATTGAAAGAAAAGAAGTATCTTCGTCAGTTTCTTTTTTTAGGTTATCAGTTTCTTCTTTTAGGTCATCAGCATTGAGTTTAGCCATGCTATCCAAAAATTTAGCATCTTCTTCCTCATTTTCTTGTGACTCTTCCACTTCAGCATTGACATACAGATTATTCTTTGGGCAGTTCCATGCCTTGTGTCCAATTTCTCCATATCTAAAGTAATCATCTCTAACATCTTTCTTCCCATTATGAGTAGCTTTGTTTCTATTGTCAATAGTCTTGTAACCATGTTGTGGAATGAGTGATTTGTTGGCTATAAATTTCTTCCTACTTTGCTCCCAAGCTTGAACAAAAGTCTTCCTGTTGAAAGTTTGATTCAAATTCTTTTCAATTTGAATAGCCAGCTGGAATGCTTCTTCAATAGAATATATGGCACTTGTCACTATTTGGTTATGAATTTCAGGTTTCAAACCTAACTTGAATCTCGAAAGAGCTTGGCGCGGATCTTCTTTTGCCTTGCACCGAATTTTCAGCTCTTCAAACTTGTTCATATACTCCATTACAGTCATGCTCCCTTGTTTCAAAGAAGTAAGCTCATCAAAAATTTAATATTGATAATGATAGGGCAAATATTTTCTCTTCATACAAAGTTTCATCTCCTCCCAATTCATTGCAGGGAGCCATTGAATCTGATTTTCATATTCAATACTACTCTACTAGATTTGGGCTTGTCCAACAAGTTTCATGGTGGTGAAACGAACTTTTTTCTCATCGGGCATATCATATCATTCAAAATACCTCTCTAATGTGGCAAGTCAATCAGAAAAAACTTGTGGATCAATTCTACCATCAAAATCTGACACATCAACACGAACTTTCTTGGTAATATCTCTTGTTGCATTATAGAGATTTAACCTGTCAAGCCTGTCTTGCCTTCTAAATTGTGCTTGAGGAAGGGGGGGGGGTTCAATAAGCTGTTGAGTCCTCTCTTGTACTTGCTTAAAACGAATATCTATTGTCAAGAATTGTATGGGGGAACTAGAAGACGGATCAGCTACCCCTTTTGATTTTTGGCCTTCATCTGCACTTGTGGAGGTTTCAGAGTCTTGCTGTAGAATATTTCTGGTTTGTTGTGCAAGCAAAGTATCAACAGAAGCCTTTAGAGACGCTATTGTTGATTCAAATGATTCCAATCTTGCATCCATTGCAGCAAATTTCTGATGGATCTGACTCTCCAATGCATGAACTTCTTGTATGAAACCTTTAAATTCAGCCTGCAATTCATTGTTGGTAACCATGTTTAAGAGTGGGTGGACTTGTAAAGAAAAGCCGGCTCTGATACCAAACTGATGTAGCACACTTTCAGATTAGGGTTTTTTAGTAGTTTTAGGCTAATGAAGAGTGCCGCGGAATAGTAACAATGCTGTGGGAACAGTAACTTGCGAAGAAACTATGATAACGAAGAGAATGAATAAGAAAAAATTCTAGGAATCACTCTTAGAAACCTTTAGGAGTCACACATAAAGTTGGATTGCATCACACAATCCCAAAATTCAAGAAATCCTAGAAAATATGAATATTTTATCAAAACAATCAATAATCTTTTAAACATAACCATAGCACAGTATTTATAAGAGAAATCCTGTACTGCCCTAATAAGTAAAATAACCTAAATACCCTTGCTTAAGTAATTTAAATAAAAATTAAATAAAACTCTAACCAACACTACATGATGCAATTAATTAAAAAAAAAACTCTAAAACAAAATAAATAACTTAACTAAACACCAAAACAATTTTTAGGCGCAAGCTCCCAATTAAGATTTCCATCCTCCAACTCATGCCAAATCAAAGTTTGAGCTTTGGAAGGGTTTGTTCCTCTTCTTTTATAAACTTTAATAGGTTGCTATCATTTATCTCTATCACTTATATTTGCAAATATACTAAAATAGTAAGAAAGAAAAATCTGCTCTTCTACTGCATGAAGGCAGTATTGTAACACAGTATGCAGTTTTATTTGGATATTAATGGCTTTATTCATCTCAATGAAGAGGTAAACATTTATGACTTAAATGATGAAAAGACTAGGAAAAAAAGGGATCTACAGAGACCAAAAAAATCACAGTAGAATGAAAGGTTAAGAGAAGGATATGGTTTAGCCCACAGAACACACATTGCAACTTTTTGTCAACTTTGCTTGCAGCCAACACTGCTGACAAGTAGGAACAATATCAATTCTATATAGACCTTGATATTGGGCTGCAATGACCCTTTTATGGGAGCTATTGGTCATTGGTGAAGTGTTGTGTGAAAGCCAGATATGGACTGATTAATGGTGAATGGATATTTGCATGGGATTTTGACATGGTAGACATGAATTTTTGGTTGGCAAATCAGATGTAAAGGGAACAGGATGAGATGAGGATAGCATGTAGTAGGTAACCAATTGACCCTGTCACTGGATCAGAAGGGAGGAGAGAATAAATTAACATCAGCTATCTCTTCAATAAGAAAGGAACTGAATGGGAATGAACTAGGCAAACAAAATTATATGATTGATCTATGCATGTACTTGTATCAATGTTAATTTTTCTAGAAGCTAGAAATCTGATCAGGGGCCTTATTTGCCCTGGGCTGTTTAGGTTGCAGATTTGGCAACTGAGTTTAAGGTCATGAAGGCACAAACAATTTTTCTGTCTGTTAACAACTCCAATTCTGACTCATTGAATGGCTACTTTGGCTGATTCTCTGAACTCCATTATAAAGCTTTAACTATTACAAGGATGAGTACCCATTTCCTATAAATTCTCCAGCTAACATTTTCTACATTTATCTCTTGTTTGGCTCTTTTCATTTCTTCCCATTGTTGGCAATGGAGTCAAGCCAGTTGATGAGCTATGTCCAAGGAGTTGATCTGGGATGATGGTGTAACCAGTTGAGTGAGATTCCTCTCCAGGACTGGATATGAACCTTCTTAAGTCTCAATGTGATGCGTTCACTATTATAGTGAAATTTGAATATTATTCTACCTCCTCAAATAAATGGCTTGGTCAACTATAAAGGACAGATAGCCCCTCAAAGTGGCTTAGGGATGGCCATCCATCTTGAACTGCAAAGCCTAGCAACTTGAGAGGATGAATTCCACGTGTGCAAAGCATGCTCTGTGTGTGTGGACTTTGCATCTTGTTTCGCTCTCTACTACTATTTCAAGGTTGAGCTTGAGTTAGGACTACGGTCAAAGAACCTAATTTCTAGCCATTCAAGCCACTTGACTTAAATCGATCTTACTTGAATTAATCTGGTCGAAGTAATGAGTCTTGCTTTCCAATTGTTTGGTGTGCTCAAGCAGTTATCCATGTGAATTAGTGGTGACCTTGAAGGGGCTGAGCCTTGGCCTTGAGTTGGACTGTTCAAACTCCAAACCTGAGCTAAAAGGCACTAGCACATTACCTCTGGCTCCAAGACTTTGTTCGAAGGAGGGAAGAGCAATATGGACCTTTTTATAAAGGCCCACCCCCAGTGATGTTGATGTTGAAGGCAGCATCCCTGAGAAGTGATCACATTGCTTCCAGTGTGAATCAGTCCTAAGAAAGGGAAGTCTTTTTTGGTGACTACAATGAGGCTAGCACCTCATCCCCTAAGTTGATAATGAGGTTGACTGGAGGAATCTCGTGGTGTCCTGATAAGACTAATGCTTAATTCTGAAGTTCAAGCGATGGCAAATTCAGTGTCCCAATAAAGCTAACATGTAACTCGTTGAGCTGAGAAAGATGATCCCTTGGATAGCTAAGTGAAGTGCACTGATAAGGCCAACACTGATACTCATTTGGTCGAAATGGCACATTGGCATGTTGGTTAACATGTCAATATTAGTGATGCCTTCATGCTACACTTATATATGGAGCCCTTTTTCCTTGTGTTAATCTTTCACAAAGTGGCTTATATAGGAAACCAACGGTAACAGTGCTGGCGTTGGAAAGGGTGGTGACATTAAGGCTCCTGAAGGTGATATTTTTTGGTCAGTAGATCTACTAAAAAGGGGTAAGGTTGTGCTTGAGCCTTGCTGCTTTCATTCAATCAGAAATGGAGGGGGAGGGGCCAGAGAACAGTGACCTAGTTGAACTTTTATCTTATCTTTGTGTTGTTTATTGTTTGGGGTCCCACTCCATTCCACGTGTTAAAAACTTGGCTTATAATTTATGCATTTTGACCCTTCTGCTTGCTCTTATTTTTTAAAATTATTTAAAAATAGTGGTTGAAGTCCCCCTGCCTCATTTTTGTTCATGCATGATTTCTTTGCAGAGTAACCCTATTGCAAGATGGCATATCTGCCAAGGTTCTATAAATAGTACTGCCTTCTCAAGCGATGGGAAATATTTGGCCACTGTTGGTAGAGATGGTACCATACTATCACGTGTTTATATGTTGATTTAATGAAGCACTAACAGTGTAAGCGTGCTGAAAATAATATATGGATGTAGGTTATTTACGAGTTTTTGACTACTCTATTGAACAACTGATTTGTGGTGGCAAAAAGTTATTATGGTGCTCTCCTATGCTGCACCTGGAGGTAGAGTTTTGATGTTTCGGTACACAAAAAGTAGTTAACCATGTGTTATTATTCTGAGCTTTAAAACTCTAGAAACGATCACAATCGACTTATGTGTGTTTGTTTCAGTGGAGATGGAAAATATATCTTGACTGGTGGTGAAGATGATCTAGTTCAAGTTTGGAGTATGGAAGATAGGAAGATAGTAGCATGGGGAGAGGGGCACAACTCTTGGGTGGGTTTTGGTTAAATTAATTAGCTTTAATCAGTATTACCTTTTTACGCATGGACTCTGTGGCTTGCAGGTCAGTGGAGTTGCTTTTGACCCTTATTGGTCACCCCCAACTTCTGAAGACACAGAAGAAAATGCCATGTATCGCTTCGGCTCTGTTGGTCAGGTTTGTTGAATATGTGGTTGTCTTTAATTTATCTTATTCTACATGAAGTTATAGACTTGGCTAGGCAAGCACCATAATTCCCTGCCTAAGGTGTGTACGACAATAATCTGCGTGGGCACTCTATGTTGGGATGTTAATATTTTGATGCTTGTGATCATAATAATATCTGTCTATTTCTTTATCTCATTGTCGCAATCTCAGTTCAATCGTTCCTCTTCGCCCATAGGTGGGAAACTTGTTGCCTCAATGGGCTTAGGTGACTGAGTTAAAGGTGTTAGATTCCATCTTTTGAAGTTTATATATCCACACATTCTATCTAGTCATAAAGTTATGTAGAATTAGTTGAAATTGGTGGGCCAAGAAATTGAGAGTCAGCCCCTCCATTATCTGTTGCTTTTTAAGACATGGGAATATTTATTTATTTTTCTAAAAAGTAAAAATGTTGTTTGAGGTGGGGAAGGGAATGGTCCTGTGGAGTTTCTGAGAACTTTATGTTTCTGAAAGGAAATGGTAAACTTTGATAACCATTGCTAAATTTTTGAAAATGTAAATAAAACAATGATTATCAAAGTTTACAAAAATGTTTCAGAATAGAATCTGAGATTATGAAATTGTGGTGGTCAAAATTTATAAAATTATGAAAACATAAACATAAAATAGTTAAACACCATATTACCAAAGGCAAACCTTTGCTTTTCCCTTGAATGTCTCATCCCCTTTTGCAATCTTAGAAATACCAAATGGAGCTCTAGTCCCAACTTTGATAAGATTGATAGATTAACTTGATGATGCATCTCTTGTATAGATTAAGGCATCATACAAGAGAAACCACAGTTGTTTACTTTTTCTTTTGTTTGCTATTATTATTTTTTGTTCTTGACATTGATGGACTTCATTTGGTCTTGGTTGGAGAGTGTATAGAAAATCATTATTTTTGATGTCCCTATCCGGAGCTCCAATTTGGGTGTATTTAGTGAATTTTTGAAATCCCTTTTTCCCTCATATTGGGATCCTTTTCCAGGACTATTTCTTGTGCTTAGGCATAAACTGTCAGTTGCATCAACAAGATGACATCTGAAATTCAAAGATCAACAAAAATTTTTGGTTCATACAAATGAATATAGGATGAAGAAATTCATTTCTAAATTCAGTTATGAGAGACTGCAATTTATGGAAATGAAGTTAAAGCCTGTAGTATTGTGCCCTGACTGGCTTGTTAATGGGCTGCTAATACCATATTAAGTGTGTCAGCTTTTTCAGAAGTAAGATTGGCATATGCTTTTATAGATGACAGCATGTTTCTGTCTCGATGATCTTGCGACTTCATTTGAAGCTTATATGCACATGCTTCCTCCTTTCACCATATCTTTTATGTTATTATGTGTGTCTACTAGATAATTTATTTTCCTTTTATGGTGAAAAAAATGCTTATGTTTAATTCATTGGACATGATAAATCATGATCTGCCTCTTTCTTCTTATTTTTGGTCCAATTCAATAATTATATGTTCTCTTGCAACTGCATATCCATCTTTAAGCAGGATACACAGTTGCTTCTTTGGGACCTATCCATGGATGAGATTGTAGTGCCACTTCGCCGTTGTCCACCTGGTAGTTCCCCTACATTCAGTACCGGAAGTCAGTCATCTCACTGGGACAGTGCAATCCCAGTGGGTACCCTCCAACCTGCGCCAAGCATGAGAGATGTTCCGAAGCTGGCCCCAGTAGTTGCCCACCGTGTCCATCCTGAACCTCTATCTGGCTTGCTTTTTACGCCCGAATCCATCCTTACTTCTTGTAGGGAAGGGCACGTGAAGATTTGGTTGAGACCAGGGCAGTTGGAGCAATCAAACAACTCTGAGTACCTTTCAGCTTATAGTTTAAAAGACAAGACCTCATCCTCAAGTAAAGTTGGTAGTCTTAGTTACAAATAATCAATAGAAAGGTGGTTTTGTAGGATTGGACTGCTGTCGGGTTAGATGTATGTAACTATTTATATCCCATTTTCACGCGAACTTGCCAGGCAATACGAATCCCATTGCTGATATGTGCAGTGAGATCAGTCAACATGTCCTGTTGTACAAGAGTAACAATTTATTTATCAACTGAAAGGATATGAAATTTCATTTTTTAGGAGAGAGAGAGGGGGGGGGGGGGGGGAGAGAGAGAGAGAGAGAGATTTATACAAGGCTGTTGATGCAAAATTGCTGGCTATACAAATAGATAGGAATAACTGAAACTGCTGTGACTTGGACTCTTGTGATGTATTGAGTTGCAGCATATACTGCTGGACTTTGAATAATTGAACAATAACTAAGCAAGGGGAACCATGACAATTTTATATGAAGAAATTTAATGTTTACCGGGCTTTGATTTTCTTTTTCCCTTTTCTCTGGTTATGTTGAATTCTGGAATTTTGAAATGAGGAGATCCTATTTCCTTTTCTTATGCCGTACTATGAATGCTTTTACTTTCTCGAGTCTGTTATGCTTTTCTAGAACTTTTCCCCGTCCCTTAAATTCATCTCGCATATTGTGTGCGTACAAGGGAATATAATTTTGAGCAGTGTATATACCTTCAAAGAGGAGAAAAGAACAATTTTAAGTTGTACGTACTAATCTATTCAATCTACGAGCCACATCAATTCAAACTCTTCTATAAGCAGTAGAAATGGCTATGAATAATAATGCATTTCTTCAATGATGTAGTCTAATTGTGAAAATGCCCACGTACGTGCGTAACAAGTTTCTACAAGAAACAACAATATATAAAAATTCTAAAGAAGCCCTTAGCTCAGCTGGGGGAGCTGCAACACATTCCTCGATTTGGCATAACCTGTGTTTGATTAGCCAAGCAACTGTACAATGCCCGCTCGAAGTATCGTCCATTTATTCTTTTTCTTTTTCTTTTTCTTTTTTTCCGGCCTCATCATGTATCAGTTGATAATGGCGGATCCCAAAAAAAAAAAAAAAAAAAAAAAAGATATATGTATAACTTTTATTAATTTGGATATTAAAATTTATTTCATTTTTTTCCAATGATGTTTCATGTTAATCATGCATTTATTCTGTTAAGGAATATGAATTGTACAGAATATGTTATATTAGGTTTAATTCTTTTTTACACGTCACGCAATTATATTCTACCAACAAAACCACTCACTATCCCATAAAGCAGAGAGAAGCCGTTGAGAGGCAACTGAACGTGGTGAATATTTTTGGCATTTCGTGTTTCAAATTGTTTTCATAATTCTTCAAATTTAATAGAAAGTAATATGGTATAAGATGTTAAAACGTTATTTTCAATTATATAATTTTTTGAAGTTTGTATATTGATTCTTAAATTTATAATTAACAAATATTTATTAATTAATTATGCAATGAATAAAGTGTGTTTTCGGTAATATCAAATAGTGACGGCGTGATCTGAATTTCCAAATCAAAGAAATGCACATTTGATTAGGAAACACAAAAATTTATTGATTAATCTATGTTTTTTTTTTTTTTTTTGTAAATAAAAGTGAGAAAGGGGAGGTACCTCCAATTCTACTACGCAAGACTTTGAAATGACTTCAAGAGGATTCAAAAGCACTGAGTTGGCTTCAAGAGAATTCGGACCCATGCCTATGGATGAAGTGAGAGTTTTATCTAAAACCATAACCGCTTATACCAACCTCCATTGGCGTTAAAGAACTAATTTTATTTTATTTAAAAATAAACTAGCAGATGATAAGATTTTGGTTACTTCCTAATTTATCAAATCAGTTCAAAAATAGATTTTGACTTTCAAATTTCATATTCAAAATGTCCTTTAAGTTAATAAATTTTACAAAGAAAAATATAGAAATGAAATTTTTCTTGGGAATAGTTTATTGTATATAATAGATAAAGTAGCATTGGAGATGAATAGGAAAAACTCCAAAACTCTTATAATCCCCATTTAAAATCTTTCAAAATTATCTTTCACATAAACTCTTAAATCCTTTTAATATTAAAGAGATTTGGAGAAAAAAATAATTATTCTTTACCTTTAACTGTATAATATAATACTAAATTACTCCACTAAACAATACAAAAAATAAACAAATAAAGATAAATGACATTCACATCCTATCGGCCTCTGTTTCTTCCAATGATCAGTACAAAGATAGAAGTCGAAATATTTTCCTTTTTATCCAGTACAAGAACCACTATCCTCCTTGTTTCCTTGTATTCTTTTTTTCTTTTTCTCTTTTAAATCTCTAAACATAATGCAAATACACTTCGAAATTTTGGATAGAAGTGTAAAATCTTACAGACTTTGGGCAAGGCCTAAAATTTAGTTGGTGCAATATTTCTGATTATGCATAAGCCTCCTTTAATTTTCAAATTTTACAGATCCGCCATTGTCAGCTGATGACATTGCTGATGCCAATTCTGCTAAGGCATCCTCAGCTCTCACTTTATCAGGAACAAAATCTGAAAGCATAGGCAGAACAAGAAGGGGCTAAGTCAACACAAAGGATATATTTATCTTCAAATGTTTTGGCAACGTTGGAAATTATAATACTGTTGGAGAGTAGTAGTGGAGAATACCTGAAAGAAAATCAAATCTCCTATGTTTGCTAACAACTGATGCTGAGAAACAGAGAGAAAAAATTAATAAAAACATTTATCATCTTACAGCTAACTGCAATTAATTTTATTATTGATCAACAGTGACCAGCAGAAAGTTCTATAGCTTCTATAAAGTTAGCAATTAGAAAGCTTACCTTGTATGAAATCTTTTGAACATTATTATTTGATTAAATCTCTCAATGTCAAATAACAGATATATGATTTTTGTTAGATACTACAGACAGATAATTGCTCACTCAAATCATGAGTCATGTAGAAAAACCATGTCCAGATAGGATCTCGATATACCCTATTTTGAGAAGCTTCACAGAGAATCATAGTGACAGTATAACAGATACAATGTCTCTATATTATAGATTTCGAGAATTGAGAAACCATTAGAAAAACAGATATGTCATCAATTTCCACACCCAAGCCCTTGACTTAAATGCACCAGATGACTCATGTTTGCAATAAACTAAATCATGGTGAAGCATATAAATAAAGTAGATATTTAGAGGTAAACAACATGATGACGCTAGGCAATATTTCTGGTAAATTAAGAGAACCAGGAAGAAAAATTACTTAGGTGTTTGTACTCAATATGATTTTTACGATCCACAAAGGCACAAGCATAGGCTTCCTTGCAGAATAGTTGAAGAAATTTTCCTGAAACAAAAGATAAATATATAAAGAATAGGAAAAGTAACAAAAATGTAACCATAGGAGCACAATGAAAGCAATTGCCAGTGGCAGAATAGTACCAATTCACCAATCACATATGAAGACTATGAAAGTAATTCCTCGAAACTCATGCACTAGCAAACGTAACCCACCATGTCTCCTGGTGCTAAGTTTAAGGCTCTGGATGGGGTATTGTTGAAGTTCTAGGTTCAACAGTACAGGTAGCCATTTCATGCAAATAACAGAATAGTATTGAAACATAATTTCCATCAAGAAAGTCAGGGAGGACTTTCTTATTATCCACTTAATATCGACATTATCTTTCTTTCCTATGCATCCCAACCTTCTGTATGTTCAATATACAAGTATGTTCCAAAACTCTTAATTCCAAGACGAATGGTTTCCAGTTTAGCACAAATAGGACAAATGATGGAATCTTTGACAAAGTTGTCTTCTTTCTTTCTTTTTTGTTTTTTTGATTGACTTTGATGTTGTTGGGAGAGGTTTCTAGTAAACAAATTTCAATTTCCTGCTGCAAATCTTTAAATACCCTAGGAGAATGACTTGAGAAATCACGTGGCACACGAAGATGTTCTCAAGTACAACTGATAAACTAGTGAGACCCTTCTAGAAGCAAATGACTTAATTTAACTCAAAAAATTAAGAGCTTAAGATACTCAAAAGCAATATTTTGAATATAATTTGACTTAACTCTTATTACCGCATTTAAATTCAAGAATAGTTCACAACCATACACTTTGTGAATCAATTCTAGTTAATTACAAAACTAAAAAGTTCAGAGCACTTGATAACACAATCATGTTAATAGATTTCCAATTTCTGGAAGCTTACAACAAACAATTTATTAACTTACAGATGGGAAATAAAAATTATTTATGCTGGTTTCATAACATTTATAAGTTTTTATTTTCCTCCACCTGTTATGAGAGCATTCCTCTGGGTTATGTAATTATTACAATTGGAGAAGTCAGGAGTGTAAAGCTATGCATGTGTGGGAGTCATATCTGGTATTCTTTTTACTTAACAGTAACATTTATAATTGCATTCTACAATAAATACAGATAAATCATCTAGATTTCTTGCATTGCACTAACTGGTGTTGGCAGTTTTCTTAAAGTGAAAATAACTACTCCCTCACCTAAACCAGCAGCCAAGAGAAAACTCCTTTATTTGCTTTACATAATTCCCGATTCTTGCCATATGCCACATAGTTGTTGAGTCCAAGGTTGTCAAATCATGAATTGTATCGAGAATTGCTTTTGCATTTTGTGAATCATGAATCGTATTATATCGTAAAATTCATAAACACATCATAAAAATACTTAAAAATACATAATTACACACTTAAAACATGAATAATATACTTTCAAAAGCATGAGAATATCAAAATATCATAATGTCATATATAAAACATGTCACATTGATGCAAAAAGATTCATTCTAAATACAAATTGATTACTAGGTAATCTATACATCTTCATTCTCATCCCCTTCAAGGCCAATATCATCAATTTGTGTATCATCATCAATTATAACCAAATCTTTATCCTCGTCATCTCCATTTTTACCACCACCATCATCTTCAATGTCTTCAACTTCACAAGCAACTTGCATGGGTTTTTTTCCTTTGTCCT